GGTTTCCTATCTTGTATGCTTTGATTCCCAAACTAAAACTTCATTTTTTTTTTCGCTTTATATTAAATTTTTTCGTTTCGTCCCGGTTTTAAGGGTAAAATTTTTTTTCATTGCCCTTTTGTCGGGCCCTTTAATGCCCCGATAAATTTATTGCCACGTGGCTGTTGGAATACGTCTTACAATTCTTTTTAAATCGGTTTTATTTCGACTCGTTTTCTAAAAAAATCGCGTCCACACTCGGTTTTTTTAAAAGGCGAAATTCTCTCTTTTTATTTAATTTTTTTTCCGTTTTTGCATTTTTTCCCCAAATCCCCTCATCCTGAGTTAAAAGAAATTAAAATTTCCGATTTTACAAATTTTTATTTTTTCCTCTTTCTCTCTCTCAAATGTTAATCTAGAAGATCTATCTTATGACGAAGGTCCGTATCTCTGGATCCGCAATAAGTAAACGGATCCCACCGCTGCCACCACAAAATGTTGCGAGCCACTTCTGATGAAATTATCTTTGGTAGCGCCCAATCATGCGTCTCGCTGATGAAAATCAAATGTTATTAAACGGACAATATGCGATCACTTTATGTGTTGAGCCAACGTATCTGCTGGCTTTCATATGACAATATTTGCTGTTCAACGTAGATCTAGCTCTCTTTAAAATGGGGGAACTTTATTATACTCTCTTTGATGAGTGCCGTACATGCATTGTATACATAGGTGAACGCTCATAGGCTGTTTAAGACGGGCACATGGACGGACATAGAGGATCACAATATCCCTATAGCTCGATGCTGATAGGGTGACTCCGCATTAAAATAAAGATAGGACTTGTTTATAGACTGGTTTATAGAAGAACCCTTGTTAATATAATAAATAAATAAATACGCTTTCAAGTTTTCTATGATTTTAATTTTCCGAGCGCCTCAACAATATTTCTTGAACAAAATTATGCAATAAATCAAACGACAGAATACGAAGCTCGAGATAAATTCAATCACGAAATGTTATTAAACGTTCGTAAAATTTCTGTGTGTGGGGAGGTGTCGGTGACGGAATGAATGAAATATCTTAAGAAAAAAAAATAGAAAAGCTACTGAATAAGATCTATATAAATCTAGACAAAGACAATGATACTTAGATCTTTAAACTATATTCTAAGTTTAAATCTTTACAAAGAATAAAAATTAATCAGCGTTTTATGTAAACTTAAGAATTACCGCTGATTCTCGAATGATCAAAATACAAATGCTAAGTTTTTAAATGCGAAACATTTACTTTTATTATTTAAGAAATTTAATAAACCTTTTTTTAAGAAATAAACTTTAAACTAAATTTACCAAAGTATGTAGTTCTGAATTTAGTATTACTTGAACGATAAAATGTACGGAAACTGAATAGATTTCTTGTTTGGTAGTTGCGGAGTGAAGATCCCACAGTAAAACAACGCTTAAATACCAAGAATTTCCCACAGTACCAACACTGTAGGAACTTGTGGGAAAAATACTCGAAAGGAGTTTTTATCGGATCCCACACCTCCCACACTAAAAGTTATTTCAATAAACAACATAAAAATAATATTAAACATGCGTAATAAATAATCGTAGAACATTTATAATAATGCAAACTTTGTTTAAGTAACATAATAAGGTAGCGGGGTACGTGTGGTGCGAAAAACTTATTGGCTATAAAAATTATAAAATCCTACAAATCCTTACGGACATCAGATTGTAAAACAACAACAAGGTTAGCTTTTAAAAAAGCTAGTAGCGACTCGCTTCGTAATTTTTTTCAAGGGGTGTGTTTAAATGTAAAAATGACAGTTCTGTTAGCTGAAGAGACTTCAGCGAACATCAAAATAAAAGTGAAGTCAACACTGGCCCGGTGCCCGATGGCCAGTGTATATAAGTTCAGGCCAGTGTAAATTTAAGAAAATTTTGTTAATTATTTAGTAGAATAAATTCAAAACTGGAATTCGGGCCAGTAAATTCAAAATCTTAAACTCATTGACTGAAAGTGACATATAAAGTTCTCTCAGTTTAACCAAGATGAGTATGAGTATATATGAAGGTGCATGTAAACAGATAGAATGAAGAACCTATGTCTATGCACATTTATTATATGGCCTGTTGACCTTGACCACAAAATGTTAGATAGGTAGATTTCATAAAGATGTCTCTTTATACAAAATTTAGTTGTAATACATGTATGTTATTTAGTATTGGAATGAGAGGCACAAGTCCTAAAGTAAACACAAGTTGTCAATCAATTCAGCCAGAAAAGCCGGGATCCTATTAAAAAATATAGGGATCCCGGAAATTGACCAGTCTAAGAAGATGTTTTTCAGATAAGCCGGGATCCTATTAAAACATATAGGGATCCCGGGAATTGACCAGTTCAAGAATATAGTTTTCAGAAAAGCCGGGATCGTATTAAAATGTAAATAGATCTCACGGATTGGCCAGTTCAAGTATATAGTTTTCAGAAAAGCTGGGATCGTTTTAAAACATATAGGGATCCCGGGATTTGGCCAATTCAAGAAAATAGTCTTTGATTTTTCCAATCAATTAGGCATATAATTATAAGTATTGTGATTTCCGCATTTTAAGTTTGTTAATAAATAGCTCTAAATATATCTATATTCTAAGTTAACTTAATTTAACGTTCATTATATACAATAAAAAAAATTAACGTTTAATGGCCTTTCATTACGACAACAATCAACACAAATATAGTTCATTAGGTTTTTCCTCCATATCTTATACGATCCCGGATCCCGGGCGTCCCGGATCCCGGCTAGTAAATACATACACTAAATACCGGAAAGGATAAAATGACCGGAAAAAAATAAAAAATGCACAGAACCAGATGTACACTTATGTTAATTAACCAAACGAAAACTTACTACAGAGAAAACAGGTGAAATCGCTAAATCAGAAGTCAGTGTAAATATGATTTATTGAAAAGAATTCATAAAGACAAACATTTTAATCATCATTATATCTTTGCGCTCAAAACAATACTTGCTGATTTTTAAAAATGGCGTGAAAATTGAAGGTTTTTTGACGCTATGTAAGATAAAATTTGATTGGCTAAATAATTTTGGATCCTAGCCCTGATAGATAAATTTTGTAGAAAGCTGGAAGCCAAGCTTCGATTAAATTTTTGGATGGCTTCGGAGTTTTAGGTTGTTTCTCAGTAAAATCCTACCGTAATACCGGCTCGCCGTGGCGAGCCGGCAAAATGATGACGTCATAAATCAAATACAGTGATGACGTCACGAAAGCTAACATACAAGATGGCGGAAATTTTATTACTAGAGTGATAAACAAACATTGATAAAACATGAATACAATATCTCTGGAGTCATTTAACGGTAAAATACTTGATAAAAATGAAATAGAAGTTACAGTTAAACGTATTTGGATACTCAAATATTACAGTTTGATTCTTAAAGTAAGTATATATAACGTAAACAAAGGGTAATTAACGGTAAAAAAATGCTTATTTAGCGGTGCACCACAATATCAAGGTCATGGTCTGTTAAAGATCAAGAAATACACATTCATGTCTGCTGCGAAAAGGGGATTTAGCTGTACTTCAAACTGCCTTGTTTTAATTTTAATGTGGCCTCTATAATTGTTGATTGGTACACACATGTTCTCACTACCACATGTAGTTATAATTGTTTATTTATGTAAATAATATCCTGTCATGCGGATGTTTAGATTTGCTTAATTTTCATTGATTGTAATCTAGAAGTGTGCATGTAGTGCATCACGTAGTATAACACATTTAATAAATTGCGTTATTGATTGGCCTTTGCATCATGTTAATACAAATAAAAGGTCGATATCACCAGTTATTGCGCTTCGTATTTTATACACGTCTTAAACATCAAATTTTGTTTGTTGACACTGGATAGAACTGCTGGCGTATAGTAAACATATTAAAATTAATGATGTACTTGTGACATATGTCCTTGATTTTGCGTGTTCGATGTTTTATTTTTGTGTTTTGTTGTTGTTGTTTTTATTGTTTTGCCCAAGCGATAATGGAGAAAATGATTATAATCATATGAGCGGCCAAACCAGGACAGAAATGTACATAAATGAAATCGCGGTAAATAAACATATAATATGTTTATACAATGGCGTGAAATTATTCAATTTGGTTAATACTAGACAGGGTTTTATTCAATATATGCCGACAAATTAAGGCAACGATTCTGTATATTTGTATATAGATGGTCCCGATGTTGCTTTCATTTCATCAGAAATTGACCCAATAGATTTAAAGGTTTGAATAAAATGAAGACAGACGCAAGGACGCGCTGACAAATGATGGACGTGGAACATATTTTGATTACAAAAGTTCACCTTGAGTAGATCGTACTGTCCGCTAAAAGGGTGTATAACTTAGGCAATACTAACACAGTATGGAATAGACTCGTGCACTTATGTCTTTAATATGCAAATGAAGACTATAATTAGTTCGTGCATATCCACGTCAATCGAAAGTTTCTAAATACTGTAGTTATCTGGAACAAATGCTTAATTTTCAAATATAATACTGGTGTGCAAACAAACCTTTGCCGTAGATCTGCACAGTACACTAGGCCATTTGCCCACAAAAGATTAACGACGAATTTAGTATAGACTTTCTATGCAAAGTACCCTTATTTAATACGGAAATCCAACATTATATTTGGACTGCTACTTTTGGTGCTCTAATAACCAAAAGGCGGATTTTTCATGCAAATATAAATTGTAAGTCGGTTTCGTCATACAAATGCTAAATGAAATGTATTCTATGAAACTCGGATTGATTGTGTGTACACAGACATATGAACAATTTCGAGTCGACAACAAACAACCCCAGTTTTTAAACCAAATACACGTATAGCAATTACGGTTGTTATAAAATTTATAAAATGAAACTTTAAGAATAAGTATCGAATTAGGATTTTACGAAAATTTAAAACGATTAACGCTAAAATACCTATATAATATATGAACCCTTATTCTGTTTGAATTGTGAAGACAATGTTTGATAATTTACCGCAATGCCTTTGAAGCAATTGTTCTGTGAAGTTTCCATGTTGGTCCATAATCACTGAACGCAATATCTTTTCCACCATTCGTGAACAATTCAGCTTGTAATAAATTGATAACATATATGATAATAAAATATATAATATTCATTTTCTCTATGGAAATCAATAGTTGCCGTAAATCAACTGGTTATGAAGGTGAATTCAATGGTGACTTTAGTAGCAACCAGTTGTTAAGGAAAGTCAATGGTTGGTATGGAAGTAACTGGCTGCTATTGAAAGCCAATGAATGCTATGGAGGTCGCTGGTTCCGAAGGGAAATCAATGATTGCTATTGAATGGATTGGCCGTAAAGAAAAGTCAATGGCTGATGTGCCTTTTATAGAATACACAATACCAATTGTACTACAATTACAACATTTCCAACAATTTATGTAGCAATAGGCAATGCTTCCTGACAATTATTTTATAAACTTTAATCTGTGTTGGTGCAAAGGAAAGGATTATCTAGACATTTACAATACGAATACAAGCAAAACCAATGACTTCGGGACGTGACCAATGTCAATCAAGGACTATAATTACCGACTACAAGCAACTATTGCAATTTGGTAGCAGTCTACTAGACCATGTTCAACGTCAAATATGTAAGGTTACCTCTTTTTTGTGGGCACCGAGAAGGAAGTGTTTACAATTTTATATGTGTGTTTCAGGAATCCCAGGACCCTAGAAACATGCCGATTTAACTTAATAGAATTTCATTTGACAATGTAATGCAATGTAATGTTTGCCAAAGAGCTATGCTCTTACCTTAGTAGTTAAAGAGAAGAGTGATTTAAGTATTTACTGTGTACATGTAAGGAAAGCAATGACCTCTACAGACAGGCTGATTATTACTACGTTTATGTTCTGAATCACTTAATTGTAAATGGTGCATATTATTAAAAGAATCAATTTAAGTATTATTATAAGTAATATTATATGCAACCCGCAAGATTTTTTAAAATTAAAATTATGACGTCACATAAAGCAACACTCCTGCATTTGTATATATGTAGCAACATGGATTAAGGAAAGGAAGAATATTTACTAGCCATTTTCTTTTAGAAGATTGGTCAAACCCATATATGAAGATCAATATACCGATATCGAAAGTGTATAGCTAATCTTCAAATCAGCATTTGATAAGGTTGCCACGACAAATACTTTCTTCGAAAAGGGATTAAAACATCTTATAAAACAAGCAGCAAAGAGTAGAATAAATGGTTTCAATTGATCATGATACTATAAGCTGTTAAGAACAAAAAATGAAAGCAAACACTAGTTCTTTGAAATGATGAAAAGAATAACAAAGAAAAGGAAAACACTCAGTTTACTTACCAGAGGGAATCATCTTTCTTGAAGCAAAGTCTGTAGACTTCTTAACTAAAACTTCTAAAGCTGTATCTATGGTATTGACAAATACAAACGGCACTGGACCTGATAGTAGATTTAGATAGGATGTGTTTGAATTATTTACATATATTTGGCATGTACATAATGTATGATTATTATTCAAATATTGAAAGAAATAACGAAAAACGGTAATCAAATGTTACCGTAAACAAATTTCACCCTTCACAATGTATCTAAGGTTTTCCTTATTCATCCACTACAATAAAATACAAAATGGATTATTTGTTTAAATTAGGAAGTTAAAAACCGACTCATATTAATTGTCCTTACTTACTTACCTAATCTAATCGTGATAACTGGTCCATACTTCTTGGACCACTCAAATGCTTGTTCGTGCATTTTTCTAAATTTAACCTCTGAAAAGAACTGAATATATCATTTGACTGCTTTGTCAATATTGATTAAAATAATAACATGTAGATATATAACAGTAAATAGCATGTGACAATCGTAAATTCATACGACAATTATACCTTAGCCATTGTGACATTCTTTAAATGAGTTAAATATATAACAGAAATTGCTGAAGAAAGACCAACATAAACAATATAATATATGTCACGTGCAGATACAAAGGACTTGTCCAACGGTCAACAAATATGTTTGAATTTAAATGACATTGGCGCTAAACAAACACAGATTACTTAGTGAATAGTAATTATAATTGACATCTGTTGCAAGTGTCTTGAAATAAACTCAAGAGTTAAGTAACGGAAAAGCAGGTGAATATTAAGTATCGCTTTTGTTACTCTGCATTATACAATGTATACATACGGCGGACAACATCATTATATTGTATATAACGCTTTCAATTCATTTACAAAAGTACATTTGGGACGTCCATTGTTATAAGTGTTCTTTTTCAAATGACAAGCAGAACTAAGAAAGTGGACCAAATAAAAAAAAGTCAAATGAGTATACTTGATAAACAATTACATACTAAAACAATTTAAATAACATTTGCTTACGTAACAAGTTTCCAATGAGAGGCAAGGCTGGTGGACCAGGCGGATATTTGTACTTCCATTTCTGAATCAACCAATACACAACGAGACTAGTAACTATGACACCAAAACATGTTGTACCGAACGACACTGACAACAACATTTCGTGACGAATGCTGGTATAAATGATATAAAAATAAATTGATAGGGAGCGGTTAAAGATGTTGCACCTGTACATTTTCTTTCAGTATGAGACTTAAGCAAAATCTGCAATTGCCATATATTTGATGTTCATTGCTTCCGAGGGACCACCCTTTACATCTGTAGAAGTTATTTTCGTCATAAGACTTTTAAGAATCATAATAAATTATATGGTGTAAGTGACAGACACATGCATTTACTATGACTGTTAAAAAGGATTAACTCTCAAATGATGTACGTATCCTAAACGGATACTATGCAAACAACAAGATAGGACATAAATGACGGATCAGGAATGGGGCGAACAAAATTAAGACAGCATTAAACTAGCAAACCTGTTCTGAGTTTTTTGAGGTATAGAGCTATATCTTATTCGATTTTTTGTATTTAATTTATTAACAATAATAGAATACAATTATCAAAATATAATATCATCATAGAATGTCTCTGCTTTTAACACACGCGAACATTCTTCGTAGTTATTATTAAATGTTCCGTAACAAATCTTATATCATAAATTTGAGACTTACTATTGAAAACGCAGCAAAGTTAAATTGCATACCAGTGCATGTAAAGTGCGGTAACTGGAGTGTAGGTATTAGAGCATGCTCGACGATTTGTTCATTTTTTCTTTGCTTTATCTATTGCGATGACCCAGAAAGCGATAAAGATAGAAAAGTCAATTTCAGATCCTCGTTCATTGGAAGCTTTTTATCTGGGGTTTATGTTTTAATTCTAAGTTGGGTTTAAAAAGTTAATTCATCATTTATTCATATTTTTCATGCAGGTATTTCGGATGTTATTTAAACAAAGGTCTTGTAGCAAAAATATAGTTATTTCATACTATTTAGATATCATACGGCAGTTAAATGTACGTATTAAAAGTATGTATAAAATGTAATTTTAACAGAAATGTAACACTCCTACTTGTTTATGATAATATTAAAACAGTGGAAAATAGTATCTATATTTATATCTCTACAAAACATATTAAAATGCGGAATTAAAATTTCGCAGCTCAGTTTGATTTCACCTGTTCATGGATGGTACTGAGAAGTACAAACTTTGAATTTGGAAACATCGTTATAATATGGTTATTAAGCTATTATAAACCAAGAAAACGTCAAAAAAGTTATAAAGTATACTCTGAAATAAGTCAGTAAATATTTTTTTTATTTTAATGTTCACTTACATATAAGTAGGAGTTAGAAATACACGATAATAAAAAAAATACCTACTGATTAAATGGCAGATTTAATGTGTTTTAATAAACACATCTAAACCATGTATTGCAATTAATAGGAAATGTTACGAATGCCTGTCGGTGGTTCGAGTGTATTGTATATACACCGATATGATGCAAACAACCATTTTTAGAACACCAAGCCGCCTTACGGGTAACCAAATATCCGAGTAGCTTTACGGAAAGGACTAAACTGGTACAATTGGCCAAACATGATATGGTGTAATGGTTCAAACTTATAAAGATTTGGTGGCTAATATGTGCCATGTGGAATTTTCTCTGCGCGGGGCGCAAGGCGAAAACACAAAAATTCGACAAAGTAACGACGCACACTTTCGATCCGCGGGTAGTCAGGCGAAGGCAGGAGGACACAACAAAGTAGTGAAATTTTCTTTTTGTCTTATATTCTCCTTGCGCCATGCGAGGCGACAAAAAGGACAAAGTAGTAACTTTATTGTATTTTTGTGTTTTCATCTGGCGCCCCGCAAATTGAATGGAGAAAACACGAAATTAAGACAAAGTGGTAACTTTGAAGGATTGTCGAGTTTTCGCCTGGTGATTGAGTGGCAAACGTACTACAAAAAAGGGATTTCAACGTATTTACGTGTTTTCTCCTGGCGCCCTGTAGAGCCCAAAAATAAATAAATAGATGAATGAATAAAGCAACATAGCACAAATCAGCCACCATACGATACAATGCATTTCACACAACGGGACGACTAGTTTTTTTTCTGCAGGTATTTTTCTACAAAGTCATATAAATTAAATAACAGTAATCATTTATGACAATAAAAGTTTTAATATATCGTACATATTTGTCGACCTATTAGAATGAGTGTAATAAAAGTCTAACTATTCTTATCGAACTTGAAAACAAAAATAATAAAAACACATTGTCCCTGCAATTCTACGATAGGAGTTGAGGTAGTTACAAATGACTGACGCATAAATCTCAATGATTTCCTTTTAAAGCTTATTTAAATTTTTCAATAAATAATCATTTAACAAAGTACAACACGTGGTTTTGATGCATATTTTAATCGTTACAACTGATATAAAATATCTTGCTGATTATAACCATACTTAAATAAGGTATTTAAAAAAACAATGAGATCTTACTTTTTATCAGAATTAATTTAATTAATTAGAAATAATAATAGATACAAGTCATGTGTCTCCACTTACACAAAATTGTTTAAATCCGTTATAAAATTATACTATATACTCCTTTTACAAAAACACACCACATTGTGCACATCTTATCTTGTAAGTGAAACTATGTTCTCAAATATATAGCGCCAAGGTAAAATGCTTCATGAATGAATCTGATGTAATCATGTTTTCTTCAATCATGCATCTACAAATGTATCTATGCTGATGTAACGATGATACGAATATTTTTCATATATATTTTGTAAAGCAACTTATAAATAATGCAATGCAGTATATTATATGTAACTACAAGAAATAAAAAATATTCTATCATTTATATGTCGAGTCGATGTGCTGTCGCGCTCATGGTGATTTATTCGTGCACGGCGAATTATTTTCTCGGTTTAATGCAATACATTTACCCTATTTGAATTATACAGCTGTCGCCAGACAGCTTTCATATAGCAAGGTTTCAAATTTATCTTTTCATCTCCCGGTTTTAAAATTATAATTTTGATGAAAGGAGTCGGTTTTTGTAATTATATCAGATTTAACAACAAAATGTTTATTTCCCTAAAAACTTCCCAGAAAGATCCTAAATTCATAAACTAATTTGTAAAAAGATTACAACTTACGCATGAATAAACTTTAACATAAATTTCACCCTTTATTTAAATGTCATTTTCACGTATAAGCTATAATAAAGTGTTTGTTTTTTGCGTTTAGGTTTAAGCAATATATTCAATAGGTTTAATCTTGGATTTTGAACCTTACGGTCACGTGTCAAGCCCTGCTGAAATCATATGAGATAAGTTGTCCGTCTCCTGTGGAACAACTGGTAACCAATAAAAGCTGCTTAGGTGATTTAACTGCAAAAATAGGACAAAAATGTGGTTCAGATCGACGTGAACCCAATATTTGAAATGTTGAGCTAGATATAAACAGCAGCAAGCTCTCCTTTCGCCATTCTTTTGTCAAAATGAATGTTGAGCTAGGCGATTTACTTTTATAGATAATTCCAGATGTTAATCTAGCTTAAACTCTTTAGATATTAAGTAGTTTTTTAGCTTGATAAACAATTAAATAATCAATATATTCAATTCTTTTCACATGCTTGACACTGTCAAAGGTACACAATGGGCATTGTCTGAACAATGTGTGGTTTATCATGTAAAATTATATTCTTTTTTTTTCAGCAATGCCTTTGTATGGCTAACACGACAAAGTAAAAGGTGTTGCAGCTTAAGTAATATCTGGACATATATTCCAGACTCCATTTTCCATTTGTAGCGTTGCATCAAACTCGCAAAGATAAAATGAAGCATTGGCTTTGCAAACAATTCGCCGAGGTACAGAAATAAATATTACCAATAGCATCATCAATACTAACAACATTATCCAAATTTAGATCATATTCATCATCATAGTTACCCTCACAATACACAATTCTTTTACTCCCGTAATTTTTGCCATTATCATCACCATCGACAAAAGAAAAATAATAATTCTCATCATCTTTAACGTCATCATCATCTTAATAGAACCATAGTTTTTTATGTGAATTTCCGGTCGGATGGTCCAATACCGTTCACTTTTTTACGTTTGGAGAATGGTAGTGTACTGAGTAGCTGCTAAAGAGCATAGAGTTTTCACATTTATTACCGAAACCCTACGGAAAGTTCTAAATGTATTGGGACATTATATTTAATTATCATATTAAACATTTTTTTATCACCAATCAATGATGAATTAGTTAATCGCGTTATGGGTGGCAAAGGAAGCGACAAGAGTTGGACAGAGTCTTTTATTATATTAAACAGGATAATTGATATTCTATTCTTAACATTTAATAATTTTCTGATATTGGCTGTTTGTCAGTTACAATTTAAGCAGTCTTTTTTAACTATATTGTCAAATCAGCTCAACTTGAAAATAAAACATAGTTTCACTTAAATAAAAACAAATAAAAACACAATACACAAGGTAAATGTTAAGTGTCCAAGTAAAATTATTAGATACTGGGCAATTTCTCTTGAAACGGTTTAGAATTTTTTATCTGGAAATACGTAACTTTGAGTTTTTACTCCCAGTTAGTGTAATGGCCGGGAAGTAGTTTATTTCTAGGAATGTTTTCTTTTACATTAATAATGATAATATAACTTAAGGTATGACCATCCTAACGCGCACTATAAGGAACTGAAAATTTGACAACATAGGTCAGATATATATTATACCTTAAAGAACAGTACAATTCAAACAAACGTTACCGTTACGGTACGGAAATCGTGTTATGCGCACATTTCTGAATTTAATTTTGGAATCTTGGTTAGAAGGGCACTTTTTCAGAAATGACGAAACCTTTAAATAATCTACAATATCATCCTCCTAATGAAATAATAGTTCCCATTAAGTTTTGATATGAAACAAAATGTCTTCTTAATTTGTCTTGAAATGTCTGTCTTCTGTCTCTGCTAATCTGATGGGAAGTTACTATTGTTATTATATTTAGCATGATTTAACCAATAAATCCCTATATTTATTAAATAATTATTCTTAAACATTTTTTCTATCATTAAGGGACATGAGATACACAAAAATAATGTTAAAAGAATGCAAAATGAAAAAAAAAATGTTGGTACAGTAATTCTGGGATTTGAACCCACGGTCCTATACTAATGTATTTAAAGTTACATTTAATAAATTTCATAAAAAACTAAATAGCGACATTTCATTAATAAATTGGGTTTTATATCGACTCCAGGTATTATTTTAGTGTCCAAACAACCAAAATGAGTTTTATTAGCATAAAAATAGGTAACCTCATTGTGGCGAAATGGGAAGTACAATTTCTGTTTGCATGAGAAACTCCGCCTTCGGATCATCCGTACATCAGTATTAAATCAACACACATGACTATAAGTGGCAGTGTTAATTTAACGGTACATTTCCGCATTGTAACGGATGTCTTCATACAAATTTAATCTTTTTTCGAGATGATTACTTTTACTGAACCCCAGGTTTAGTGCACCTTGAAACTTAAACGGTTAAAGTGTGTTTGCACAAGAAAATATCACATTTGCTGTGTTCCGGATAGCAACTATAAAACTGTGACGTAGCGCATACACGAGCTCATTATAATCTTCATTTGCATGTTAAAATTCGTATACGAACTTTAGTGTTACCGTGGGGTTTCCCGTTGAAAATCCTAATTTATGAACAATATTTAATGAGATTTACAACAAAACTATTAAACAGGTTAATAAAACTGTAGAATGTTTGATTGTTAGATCGACGGCAAAATATTTTTACATATTTATTTAATGTAACTTTAACAGTACATGCAGTAGTTAGCCTATTTGAATACTCAGTGCAGAGGTAATGCATTAAGACGGTCTTACCTTAAATTACTAATTTATAGTTTATAACAATTTAAAGTGATGTTGTGTAAATATATTTGAAATAAGGGCATTCACAGGTGAACTTCGAAGATTTTCTTCATAGTTTGCAAATACTTCAGAGCTATTTACCTGTGTTTACCTGAGTCACGTTCTACTGACCAGGATTATAAACATTCAAAGTAAAGCGAGTTATCCAACCAGTCACGTTTATCCGTTTTGTTGTATACTACGCTACATAAATAAAATACATAATTATCCTTCCCAAGTTTCTGATAAAATCAAAAGGGAACTTTCGTCGACATCTTAAGAAAGGACCTTCAGAAAATTGGAAATATCATTTCGCACAACTTTAAAGATCAAATTAAAACAATCGTAAATGATTCTGTTGAGAGTATTGTCCAAAATAATCAACAACAGATGAACTTTTTTTCCTAGAAAAAGAATATAAAGATTTAGCTACAGATCTCGAGGCCAAACACTGTGAAGCTTACAAATGGATGAAATTCACATATCATACGCCTAGGGAGACCGTCGATTACTCCGATCAACGTAAAGCCTCGCGCCATCATTTTGAAGTTCACCTCTTACAGATCACGCGCAAAAAAGTAAACAAAAATCTAAACAACATGTGTCAAAATTTAAAGGTACTTCTATAAATGAAGATCACACACATACAAGAAGCGGGATATTTTTTAAAAGTTGAAGACTAGCTTGCGAACATCTTTTAACGAACACTTCTTGGACATCTGATGGTATCATTATGGTCAAATCCAAAAGGGATAAACTGTTTCGCTTACAGACCACATGTCAGCTCGAACACTTCGTGAGAGGAATAACAATATTCAAACGCAACTTTAGAAGTGCAGTTTAATTAAGGTAATTAAATCTATCGAAAGTATAATAGTCGCTACTTCAGCAGTATACTTACTGAAGCTACAAATATGTAAAACTATATAGAATGTATAGTCAATAATTAAAACTGGCCGTGTCGATTTCTCTATGATTTCAGTAAGTTAAATATGTAATCATTGAACTGAATACGATCACAAGTACCCTTGAATAAATGCATCTACGCCTTTTACATGTATTTTGTACTTGCATATTTATATCGGATAAACATTTTCATACACGACTGTAAGTAGTATCTGTCTAGTATGTAAAGGCATGTACGTCGAACATGTTTTATTGAATTGTGCACCCGACATTACACACAATAGTATGCATATCGACGGAATTGTATAGAAATAAATGATAAACAGATATAAACGTAAGCTACAAATGAAATTGGCTTAGTTTTATGTATCAATAAAAGTACTTCTAAGTTTGTCATGTTGTCATATATCAGAATTACTAAGTTTGATGATTAATATGAATATTTGTTCTCTCGTTTTGCGAAAATATTTATTTATTTTATATTTATTTGAAGTTACACTTTGTAAACTTGTCTCAGACTTAAATAACAAAAGGAAAACCTACAAAAAATAATATAAACTTAACTTAATAGTATAGAAATTACCTTACTTTTTCCAACATGTCTTGATATGATAAAAAAAACTTCGCATTTATAAAAAGGAACAGTATAAAGTGTGTATACACTTCACATAATCGAACAGCTGATTATTCTATTTAATATTTTACCATTGTTTTTGGATTGAGTGCGTGTATCATGTGTATCATTACGTATACTGTGTACTATTGCAAAAATGATTTATTTTTTATATATCATCACGCATCTCTTTTATTATTGCCAAATGTTTTTCTGTATCATTACGTGTCTCTTCGTTCTCTTACCAATGTGATGTCTCTGTTAAGGTCATTGTTTGAATGAGAGTAGTGCTCAATCTTGTAACCATAATATGTGTACAAATAATTTACTCTTCAAATGTAAGTTATCTGAAAATGTATTTTGCTAAAGAAACCACAACATTATAGTTTAAAACGATTTTAGCAATAATTATTTTTTTTGTAAAATTTGACAATGTTTAATATGAAAAAAGTCCTTTTATATTTATATTTAAGTGCTTTTATATTTTCTATTTCTATCATAATGTTCGCTCTAAGCTTTCTAAACTCTTTAATTTTTCTCACATTCAGTTTACTTGCCTTTTTGAAACTGAGCGTATGAAAGCCACGAAAACATTATACACTGTCAAATAACTTTATAGCGGCCGCCTACTTCCTCATATATACTCCAAGATATCAGCCACTCATTTTCTATCACGCTGCTGCCTTACTTGTACCACCTTCGACTTATTTGCAACCGTTCACTATATTTACTTTCACAGAAACATACTTTCTAAAACCCCTGCTTAGAGTCTTATTTCTTAACCTGTTGTTTACACTGTCTGGTGGTGTTTATCCAAATCCAGGTCCAGTTTCATCTAGCTACATCTCATCTTAACACATCAACAGTTGTGGTCTTAGCCTTATGCATTTAAATGTTCAAAGTCTTAGCCAAAATTAGACATTATTTGTAGATATTACTGAAATCGAGGCCCAACAATATGATATTTTTTATATTAACGGAAACCAGGTTTTACCTAATACTACAGACAAATAACTCAGAAATGCGAACTTTAGCCCCCCATATCGTTGTGAGAGAACTGCAGGAGTGGGTTGCGGTGTAGCAATGTATAATGGCATAAACGCTCTCTCCTTCGACAGGATCTCCATATTTACAAACTTGAGGCAGTTTGGGTTGAAATCCTCATTCACTCCAATCAGTTCCATGTCAGCGTTATGTATAGACCACCTGACTCAAACAATTACTTCTGGCAACTCCTGGAAGAAAGTGTTGACCGCGCTTTCTCTGTATAAACATATACCGCAATTGTTGCAGGTGATTTCAGTATCAATACTCAGATGTCATCCTCGGCTCATTGCGTCCTACAAGGCAGAACAACTAAGCAAATCTCAAACACACTTCACTGAACATTCCTCTTCCTTGATAGACCTCGATTTTGTTATTAACCATCAAAATGTTATTACTTATTCTGTAGCCGATCCATTTACTCCTGATCTCGCATTGTCCGGTTGTAGCAGTCTTTCAATTAAGAAAACTAAAGTAGAATAATAAAGATGTATTTGGCTTTATGGTAAGGGGATAACGACACTTTCCGAGATAAACTAAGATTATCAGATTTGGATTTTCTTATATCTTTGACAATGTAGATGAATCAGCAGACATTTTATCTAAATTGAATAACCTATTAGCATCTGAATCAATGTCTAACAAAGAAATCACCAAAAGATCTGGTGATACCCTTTGGATGAATAACAATATTCGTAAATTAATAACAAAACAAAACAACAAATTTCTCAAAAAGCCAAAAGTTCATTGGTTGAAATTTAGAGAAATTAATTAATAGATTAATGTCACTACACTAATACGAAAATCTAAATAAATGTTTCAAAATAGACTAATATATAAACTCAACACAAATAGTGTTAACCATAAAGAATGGTACAAATGTAGTAAGAAATTAACCTGAAATTCAATACTTTCATTTAGATACAATTATATCATCGCAACATCCAATCAAGAGAAGGTAAAATTTCTGTGCACAATCAAAGGGAGAATAAAAAGATTCTACAATATCCCCCTTTACTAAGATAAACCAATCGGTCCTATGAAACATCAACAATACGCAGCAGGATTTGCTCGACTCGTTATCTTGAATAGATCCCTCTGAAATATGTGGCCCAGACCTTGTAAGCCCTTATTTACTTAAAGAAGCTGTGCCTGTTTTAGCCAGTACACTCGCCGCCTATTTCTACAAAATTATTAAAATTAGACCTTTCCTACACCATGGAAGCTTGCTAATGTAACCCCAAGTTTAAAGAATCTGATCCAACAAGTCCCGAAAATTACCGCTCCATCTCGTTGTTGCACTGCATCGGAACACTGATGGAAAATGTGTCTATAAGTAGTTGTACAACTTTATTGTCACTAATAATTTGCATACATCTCACCAATCTGTTTATTATTAGGGGATAACCAATATTTTGTTGCCATCTCGCATAAAAAAGCAAAAACTGTAGCAATGTAAAATATAACAATGCAACAGTGCAATGGAACAAAGATATTACATGCAGAAAAGCGAACATGCGAAAAAAAACGAGAAAAAAAACATTAACACATTTAAGCTATGATATAGTGTTTTCTTTTGTTTGTGTAACGATAAACAGATGTTTTTCAGAATAAGATACATTTTGTCAATTTCTCAACAACAAATATTTTTTGAAACTGAGCCCTACAGTCACTTGACTCTTACTGCTTAAATCTTTTAAGAGAAGTTGTCCGTTTCTTACGGAACATTTGTAATTATCATTTATTTTTGTTTTTTACTAAATAAACAATTAATAAATATATTCAATTCTATACAATTGCAAAATATAATATTCTAGATACTATCAAAAGTACACAGTTATAGACAATATCTGAACAATTTGTCTTGGAACATGTAAGGATTATATTCTCCTTTCAGCAATGACTTTGTATGGCTTGCTTGACAAAGAAATAGATGTTCCAACTGGAGTTATATCTGGACATATTCCAGACTCCATTTTCCATTTATAGCGTTGCATCAAACTTGCAAATATTAAATGAAGCATGGGCTTTGCAACAAATTCGCCGAGACACACCCTTGTTCCCGCCGAAAATGGCAACCAACTTTTTGGCTTTGGCCCTAGTCTACCGTCTTCATCTAAATATCTCTCTGGAATAAACCTATCAACATCATCCCAGGCGTTTGGGTCGTTGTGAAGCGCCCAGTGATTGATGACTACGCATGTTCCTTTAGGAATTCTGTAGCCACCTGTAAAGTAAAAAGTGGAATCTTAATTTAACACAAACGCGATAATATTTTTTTTTGTTAATTTTCTTATATCATTTTCGAATATTCTTGGAATACATCATATCTATCTAAAAGATATCTATTTTCTTTACACATATTTAAGAATTTGTGAATTATCATTCTATCGGCTACGAATTCAAAGCAAGACAAAATGTTGGCTTATTATCAATGAATGAATTGTAATAAAGTATTACCATTTGATATTCAATCATAATATGACATACCAATGACATGATGTTTCAATTCCGTTAAATAGCTTAAAAAATATTTATTATCTTTCATGACAGAGATTTTATCCAATCAAAAAAATTAAAAAAAATGAGTGGAATAAATGGATGTTGTTCTACAGATTGTTTACATTATAACAAAGAGAAACCAAAATCTCATCAATTGTGTTCTTACAAATTTCCGAATCACAAGAGGATTCATGGAAAAGTCCGGTTGGACCAACGGTTGCTAGGCGCATACTTTCATGCATCACAGCTTCGGTGTAACCAAGATTTGGCCGATCTGCCACTCCCGGCAATCTGTCCCTTCCTACAAATAGTAACAAATGTGTCACATTTCCGTTAGTATCATTTTTCAAAGTTGTTTATTACTCTTTGTTTTAAGAAACACCCTGTCTTAACTATTCTAAAAGGTTCATGACAATATGTAAGTAACATTAGCTTTTGCATGTAGTTTGAACTGTCTCAACTCATTAAGGTAACTCCATAACCAACGTTTGTTTCAGATACGATGAGCATTTTTAAAGTCGGCAATTATCAAGCAACCTACAAATAATATGAAAAAACAAGATCATCAAGAAAGGGCTGATTTGAATAAAACTTAGTCTTGATCATTGCATGCATATGAGTTTTGAAAATGAAATGTGTATTTCAAAACGAAGCAAATTCGAATTTTCAGTTTTGGCAGCATATCCGCTTTGTACATATTCTACTTCTGCTTGAGTGTTCCCTCGTACGAGGACTGTAAAGGCTTCTTCCTAACTTAACTAGTGGAAAAGGACCTCAGGTTCCATCTTAAAATATTTCAGACACGAACGATCACATTATAATACCAAAAGAAATGTGAGTGAATTTATTTTATATATCTGCTCACTGACGTATGGACAGAAAAACTGGCTAACAGTACTTTCAGTGCTTTGATTATGACTTAGGAATGTTGTCACGTTTTGAGCTTACCGACGGCGTTATCTATCTCCTCTTGGACCTTTCTTTGAATATCTGGAAATGCGACCATGTGCAACAGAGCAAACTTGAGTGTAAATCGCGATGCATCTATGCCAGCTTAAACAACAAAATGATAAAAACAAAAAGAAGTTATTGAATATGAAACTCGCATATTTCAGCCAAGCTATATAGAGTATGAGTTTGGTGCAATTTTGTAAGTAGAATGTCAAATTTTAGCTTATTTACTCAGTGGAAACGAAAGGAAATAAGAAACAAAAATCCGAATCGAAAGCAACAAAATATCATGGAAAAGTACAGCCAAGACTCGATTTGATTGAGTCTGTACATGACGGATAATGAAAAAGTGCAACATCCCTCATGCCCCTAGTACCGGCTGGAGCGGTACTCAAATTTCAACACTTAAAATCGATCCCAAAGAACCAGAAAAAATAACTCTGAAGTGAAGTACCGGGTAACTTTTTACAGCTGCCCCACAGCACTTGGCACCTGCTACTGTAAAGTATAAAATCTGGATCCCTCGGAAACATTTATCATATATATGTGAATAACTTAAAGAATATATAATAAATTGCATTATGATAACTAACGGAATATGCCGTTCAAACTTTTTATGTACTAAGTTATTTACACCTGTGTTATGTTATTGTTCTACAAAAAATCTTCTGATACACAGAAAATTCGTTTGTGCCAACAGGATCGTTTATTGTAATGAAGAATCTCAGAATCCGTTTTAAAGGTTTTCTAAATTTAAAATGCCTGAAAATTAATGAAATCTTTAAAACAAACTCACCGAAAAATATATCAGCAAGCGTCTGAATTAGATGATCTTCATCAAGGGCACCGAGTGCTTGCTTTCCCTCCTCTTTTTCTGCCTCCATGCGAGCAAGTATCAAGTTGTCAGAAAAATGCCGCACGTCATCTGCCAAATTAATTGGAATTTTTAGGTTAAAACAAACACATTGCATGTCAATACAATGATATAATTATTTCAACTCTGAACTTTGTTCATTTTTTGTCAATCCGCCTAACAAGAACATCGAAACGTTAGGAAAATATACATGAGTCATAAGGCATGCTATTCGACAAGAGTTGGAGCTTTAATTGGTGAAATATATAATGCTGAAAATTCAAATTTCAAAATAAAGAACATAATATGTACGATACACTACGTTAAGAAATGATGGCAATGCAGACACCCAAATTCTACATATGACGCGACGTTATAAACGTGACGGTAACCTAGATGACGGAATCAAAACCAAGCCATATTCACCAAAAGTGTTATACATTCGGCCTTCCTCCAGATAAGCATTTCCCTATAAAGACTCTGCTGATAAAGAATATAGCTTGGCTTTGACACCAGGTTATGTACAATATGTTTGATGTTCTTATCAGGGCAAAAATATAATGCACTATTTGCATTTTTAAGACAACATATTTAAAGAATTAAAGAAACTACACACTCTCGACAGAAAGTAACCAAACAAAGCAATTAAAATATTGTCAAATAACCTTAGAAGAGATTCGACTATTTTACCTTTTCTCGAAATAAGTTGATATTTACTGAATGAAACGGATTTGTTATTCTATGGAAACCCACCTTTGTTAAACGTTGACTCTCTTTCCTTGTATTTTCTCCTAATGAAACCTTCTATTAGACAATCTTTTAATCTCTCCAATTCTTTGAATGACTTCGACTTGTACACATATCTTAGACCTGGTATAAAATCTTCAAGGGTGCCTGCGTTGAAGTTTTCAACCACTTCATCTTGCATTTTTAAAAGGTTATTCATTTCTTTATCGTTGAAATCATATCTAAAAAAAAAGATCAGCACGAATTGTTAAAATGAACGAATTCTAATATTTTAAAGATGATTTTGATAAATTCAGTTTCGAGAATCAGTGATGTTAATTCTATCAGATTTGCATTGCTTATATCTAATCTTTAACGTGACCTTTGTTAGCATTGATTTGTTCAGGGTAAAGATTTTCGTAGATATTTTAATTTTGATATTTTAGTGACGTGATTGTATATGAATTTTTAAGTTAAAGCTGGGTTATTCCAAAAAATGATTGTTATAGAATATTTTACGGCAAATTTTTAAGTGACATAAATATTAGCAATTCTATAACATTGAATAGTTTCTTAAAAAAATTGACAGTGGATTTTAAACATTGAATATTAAAGTTACACGAATAAGAGTACATGTATAACTGTTACATTGAATATTTCAGTGACTTGATTGTTTGTAAATCGTGACATGATTGTAAGTGGCTATTGAACATTGACTATTTTAGTGTAAATATTGAACACTTTAGTATTTTTAAGACTTTAAAACCGCCATTTTTATAATACTTTAAGGAACATTTTCAGGCTAAACTTACTTTCCACCAAAGCACATGCTCGTCAGAATGTTGGTAACAATAAAGTTGATGTACTGTCCGGGATCAAACTGACCAGAGATTTTATCGATTTCAACAAACGCAGCATTTACTGCGTCAAATAATCTATGTTCTAAAGCGTCCCCTTGCAAGTAATTTCTGTAAATTGAGAAATTCAAACATTTAAGTAGGTGTTTTAAATGTCAGCTTACCCAACTCCCCCGACAAACAAAAATAAATCGATCACTTTATCAATCTAATCAATCTAAAAGTTAAAGTATAAGAGTATAAGAATTTCAATAACATTATAGTAAGAGAATGAATATTTTATAGTAAATACAATCTGTATTATATTATTAAATATCATAAATCCACTGAGTCCAGACGCGAGTAATAACGGACGCATGTGAAGGTTGGGCTTCAAAGTTTGTTTACATTTCTCGGATAGATGGGCGTGTCCTTATTTATTAGATGCGTTGCTTATGGGATTGTTGCTTCGAAGGCAAAGAAATTGACATTTGATGAAATAAGAGGTAAGTTATTAAATTCTATGTCTCATACATTTAGCAGACAAGGAAGCCAAAAATAAAAATATGCCAACATATTAGACTACAGAATGTCATCACGTGGCACCCAGCCAGCAAGACAGTTTCACAAAACAGATTCTTCCCGTCATACGATATGTGCTTAATTATGAGCAGTGGTTAGAAAAAATAATTCGTAAACATTTGTTTTTAATATACAAATAAATACGATAATAAGTTCGTGAATATCCAATTGTAAGTTTCCTACAATAGTTGCTATCTGTAAGATGCCTATATAATGTGAACCCTTATTCTATAAGAATTGTGAAAAAATATGTGATAATTTACCGCAATGCCTTTGAAGCAATTTTTCTGTGAAGTTTCCATGTTGGTCCATAGTCACTTAAGGCAATATCTTTCCCACCATCCGTGAATAAATCAGCTTAAAATCAAAATTTTAAATATATGAATGTAAATATAACATATATAAATCTAAATATGTCCGCTATTTTAATCAGTTGTTACTATGTAAGTCACTTGCTACTATGGAAAACAATAGTTGTCGCGGAAGTCACTGGTCATGAAGGGAATCCAATGATTGCTATGGTATAAACAAGTCATTCAGGAATATTTGGTATGGTTGTAACAGGTTGCTATTGAAAGGCACTGATTGCTATCATGGAAGTCACTGGCTACGAAGGGAATTTAATGGTCGCTATGTAATAAACTAGCCGTTCAAAAAGATCAAGGGTTGCTGTACATTTTTAGAATACATAAAACGCTTGTGCTATAATTCGAACAAAATATGTCGCTGTCCACTAGAAAATGTTTCTTGCCAACTACCTTAAAAGATATGATCTGTGTTGGTGCAACGGAGGGAAGTTTAAGGCGTTCAAAATATGAATACAGGGAACTCCCATAATCCTCGGGACGGGCCCAATTTAGACCAGAGGGCTATAATTCGAGCAACAGTTGCAGTTGGGTAGCGGTCAACTAGAAGAAAGTGTTTCCTATATTTTAAGTGTTTTTTTAAAAAATCCAGGATTCTTGGAAACGTGCCAATTTTACGTCAGAGTTGTTATTTGAACAGTGGTTATGCCATAGATCTATGCTCTTGTAAAGTAGTTTAAGAGAAGAGGAATGTTCATAAATCTTCACTATATAATTCATGGAAAATTATAATCCTTCCAACAGGGCTAATTATGAGCACGTTAATGTACAGGTCAATTATTAATTTGACATATCACTAAACAAATCAATATGAACATCAGTATGAATATCAGTATGAACATGATAATATTATGCAAGTCGCAATTTAAGTAGTCGTTTTCCAATTACGACGTCACTGAAAACCATATAAGTAGTTGTTCTCAAATAATGACGTCACAGGAAAAAGTTTTCTTTCATTTGAATATAAGGAGCACTATGGATTAAAAAAAGGTAGGTATAATTTCTTAAGAAGATTGGTCAAATCTAAAAATGAAGTTCAAGATATCGATAATGTATAATCAGCATCCGATAAGGCTTCCCACAACGACAGCTTACTTTGGTTAAAAAGGCACAATTAATAAATGGATTAAAAACTTCTTAAAACAATTAGCAAAACGATAACTAAATAATATACATTGATCATACTGTTATGCTCTTATTTGTATAGACAGGAAAACTAGTCTTATGAAATGATGTAGGGAAATAAAGAAAAGGAAAACACTTAGTTTACTCACTAGACGGCATACTCTTTCTTGACGCAAAGTCTGTAGACTTCTTAACCAAAACCTCTAAAGCTGTATCTATGGTGTTGACAAATACTAACGGCATTGGACCTGATTTGTTAGGAAGTGTTTAAATTTTGTTATTAATACTTAATGGTGTAACAAACAGGTGGCATATATCGGCTTAAACAAACATCATCTCTTATATAAACGGAACATTTTATTTTTCAGTGCACTTAATCAATCTCCCAATTAATTTGCGACCAAGGTTTGCGAGTTTAAGACTGGATGACATTGGTGAATTATATTGCTAATCTGCAGAAAAAATGTTTGTCATCATCCTTTTTTTACTTACAAAAGTCCAATACATCTCAAGGACATAGATACAATATGAGTTCTGAGACAAAATTGTTTAAATGTATTTCTTATGTGTCATAGTTTGTGCATACATACCGGGTAATTATTATAAAGCACAAGAGCTACATTGGAAAATATATACCATTCGACGTGAAAAATATATTTGCGTGGAAAAGGTGTATGATTATTACTCAAATATTGAAATATATAACCTCAATGCTACCGCAAACAAATGGCACGTATGGTAGTATTCATTCAGTTTATGCAAGAAAATTGACAACCGACAATGATATGTCGATGACGCATACTTTATGCAGTATCTATCATTTTCAATTCATTACTAATTTCTACACACAAATTCATCTAGAATGATTGACTCATATTAATTGTCCACACTACTTACCTAATCTAATTGTGATAACCGGTCCATACTTCTTGGACCACTCAAATGCTTGTTCGTGCATTTTTTTAGCATCAACATCTGAAAAGCATGGTCTTATGATTTTATTTGTGCGATTTGTTTGATTTAATGTTTCAAGTTTCAAGAGTTTATTCAGCATAAACATACAATATGTTCATTGCCATACATATGATATAATGTGCATGTAATATGACAAGAAAACAAACAAACAAACAAACAACAAAAATAAAATACATTTGGTAACAATGAGAATAACCCAAACAAACACACACACATCCACAAAAAATATTTTTGAGAAAAGTGTAAAGAAATAGTAATTATTCAATATGTATTTAAACAGTCAGATTTATTGATTATAGGTATCTCGTTTACATGTAGCTAGGTATAAATACTTGAAACTTGAAACTTGTTTGATTTAATGAGAGTTATATAATATATTTACAGCACGGGCACATATACTATTGTATCAAAAAGTTTATAACTCGACGTCGTCATGTGTTGATGTATACACTGAAAAATCATTATTTAATTTATCAAAGATTTAATTTCACCTTCTTATGATAACTATCAGATAAAAAACGAAAGTAACTTCGAATAGAGCTCCTCGTCAAATTTTGTATAAATGCTTCAAATAGAGCTCCCCAATGTTCTTTATACGACGATAATTGTCCATATATGATGTGACAATGCGTTAATCAGGCAATAAATGCTTATGCTTTATATCTGAAATGCCACGTGGTATTGGCACATTTAAAACAGAACTGGTCTGTGTTAGAGCTGTCGGAGAAGCAAAATATGATCTTGTCAAATTAATTTCATATTATATTCCCAGTCGGGGAGTTCTTTAATTATTTCGTAAGTGGGTAATAATAAACCAGTTTAGTAACACGTTACTTTCATTGAATGCAAAAGGTGTGAGAAAGAATTGAAATATAGGAACCATTATTATACTTAAGAAAAGAGTTCTTTGTCACACTTTATGGTAACAAGAAACGAAACATGTGATGTAATGTTGGCCTCGGTGATTACAATGTTAAAGCAATGAGATTAGTAATGTAGAAGTTGCTTACGTAATAGGTTTCCGATGAGAGGCCACGCTGGTGGACCAGGCGGATATTTGTACTTCCATTTCTGAATCAACCAATACACAACGAGCCCCGTAACTGCGGCAACAAGACATGTTGTACCGATCGAACCTGTCAACAGCATTTCCAGAAGCATGCTGGTATATCAAAATATGTTATCCTGTCGATAGAGAAGACGTGTTTAAACCTTTACTCTGCTGGGACCGGAAATGATAAGCATATATCACAGAACCCTGCCCATCTGTAGAGTATGCTTTATACTGGTGTATGACCAACTTCATAATTCATTTTATCATTCCAAAAATTGATTATAATTTATTGACTATTACGAACAAAAATGAAGATTTATTATTATTTATTTATTTTATAATGAGCAATTATCATTAATTAATTTGAGTATTAATTAATTTGATTCTGCAGGCAAAGTTTAATTTCAAATAATTATATGCATGCATGGTATATAGGTGAATGAACGTCAATAATTCGACAATAATGACAAATAATAGAAATCTTCATCAACAAAAATAGAATTATTATATTTAAGATATCATATTAGAAGTAGACAACATCTTATAGATGAAATTAAATTAGATTGTCTGTCTTAAAAGAGAAAAGATTTTATTGATAACTTGTTAAATATCTTTTGATGTGACCAATAGGCTCTTAATTATAACTATAACTGTAAACAATCGCAATGATAATATCGAGAACAAAATAACTATTTATATTGTAATTAAAGCGTTTCAATACTCACTGTAATCTACAAATCCAAAACGTATGCAACAACAATGAACATAAAGGGATTTACCTCTCCGAAGGGGAAGTATTAAAATGGTTTGCAGAGAGATCGGGCATTTATATAGGTTGTCGAATGACACTTACTGACGTAACAATCGATTTTACTAGACTTCGTTACTTGAGGGTTCAGGAGCGTACATAGTTTATTTTTTAAACTGATAACGGCTATATCATAGTTTGGATTGATTCAAAAAGCAAGAACAACAGTTAAGGGAGAATGCGAGAGATTAACGATCATAATAGTTCTTAAACCGTAACCAGTTGAATTTTTTCTTCTTTAATTTGTTCTTCAGTTTCCAGTTTTGGAACTGTCGTTTATCAACTTAAGAGATATCAAGATGAAAATTTGATCTTCCAAAAGTATAGAGCAAGATCAGGCTTTAACTTTACAGAATAAAACTCATAAATCAACCAATAAGCATAAACATTGGGCAAAATCAGGTTCATGAACTCCACTGAGGTCCAACAGAACAAAAAATGCAAAGATTTGAATTTCTACTTTGATCACCTAGGGCACCTCATACTGAAAGATCTGCAAGCAGATAATGAAGAAATATAGTCATTCATAAATTAATTGTAAACCGTATTTTGTGCTATGATTGGCCCGAATTTAGCGAAAAGAGTTGCAAATTTAGGTCAATTTTCACAATTTTAATGATTATTCTGGAAAATGGCACGAGCGAAAAATCTAAAAGTTTTACACGAGTTTGAGGTCAAGACCTTTATCAAACTGAACATTAATATAAAAATATTTCCTGTCCCTTCTTTTCAGAAAACCCCAATGGAGTCCCTTCAACAAATTAATGTTTATAGATTAGAATCACAAGTCACAGAAAGTATCAACCGAGAAATTACTGGGACAATATCATCAGATTTCGTACAAAAATTGTTTCAATATTTATATTTTAGGGTAGTAACTATAAAACATATATAATTTAGTTTGGCATCAATTTGGATATTCGGGAAAATTCGAATTGGACTGGTGTAGTCTATACACTTTACATTTATTTATTATCATTTATTTATTATCTTCTTTTAACATTCCTGAATTTCAAAGGAAAAGATCCGTAGTTAATGAACAATGGTAAGATACATGACCATTAATTTGAAACTTTATTTATTTATTTTTATTTATTTATTTACAAACAAACGAAACTTGTAACCCGGCGAAGAGACCCTGAAGGGGGCGTCCTTTTGAAGAATTCATTGTTGTTTGTTTTCCCTCTGGGGTGAAAAGGGAGACCCATGACTGTTTTTTTAAAAGTTTTTTTCTGCTGGGAATTTGTGTCTTTTTTTTACGTGAAACGATCGGCTTTATAACCCGCGTATTTCCCCTTGAAACAAGGGAATTTGAAAGCCCTTAAAATTAAGCACAGGTTTTTAATGAAAACCCCGTTTTTTGTGGGCTTGGAGGGTCATTTTTGCTAAAATAATATCTGTTTTAAAACAGGAAATCAAAATTTTTTATTTGTTTTTTTTTAGTTTTTTTTAATTTTAAAATTAAATAATCTGTGAACCGATTTGCAAAGGGTTTGGGGTTTGGGGTTTTTTTATTTTTTCGGCGTTTTCCCCCCCGCGAAAAGTTAAACTTCTCCGCCATTGGATAAGGTAAATTGAAAGCACCGGGGGAAGTTATAGCCCCACTTTTTAAAATAAAACAATTTTTTTTTTTGTATTCAAAAGGGAGCACAAAGATAATTTTGGGGAAAGGTCTTTTTTGTTTTAAAACATGTATTATGTCCGTTTATTATTGTGTTATTAAGATTTATTACGTTTAAGTCGCATCATCAAATTAGAGCTTTAAACAAGTTGTTTGTTTGCTCATACGAATGTAATTTATATTTTACAGATAACTTTCAAATGTGTTCTCTGCAGTGAGTATTATAAATCGTTTGATAGTTATACGTGTTATATATTAAGAACCTCGAACAATAGTTATAGTTACTTGAGCCGGTTGAATTACAAGAACTGTATATCCCATATTTTATCAGTAACTAATATAGATCTACAATGACATGAATGACAACTACCTTTCTCGTTATCATTTAAATAAAAAACTTTTATAAACTATGAGATAAGTGGATCTCATTCTTTTAGTTTGATATGAACAACGGGTTAGTAAAGCGAATATCATATGCATGGGTCCAGAACGGATGAGTAGGGGGCTCAACCCCGCCTTCCCCCCACATATCACAACCATCACCCCCCCCCAAAGGAAGAAAATAAATAAATGAGGAAAACTAAAAAAAATACATGTATATATTAATAAATAAATGAAAAAAAATACAATAAAACGCATACATTTAAAATTTTGGCTAATTTTTCAAACCGTTCTGAGATCGACTATCAATTACACTGTTTTATATAGTAACAATCAATAAAACCTTTCAAAAACCACGTAAAAACAAATCAAAATCTAACCCGTGACCCCTCTCTGGAAAACTTGTGTAAAGAACTTATGTAAAGAACCCAGGTTCCTCGCTTGCATGATATTCATTTTTTGAGAATATAACAATGTATAAAGTATTTCCATGGTAACTATATGTATTAATGTCGGCTTCTTATGCACTGAACGTCTAAGAATGTACCATTGCTAGAAAAATATTTAGTTACGTTTTAACCCTTTCGCTGCCAGAGGGTTATTATTTTATTGGTCACCTATATGCAAGAGGTTTTTCTAAGAAATTACTATATAATTAATTAATATAATAATTATTATTTGTTATTAGTATTATAATAATTATATATGTTTCCAGATCTGTGAGTATAATAATAATTATTGTCAATGGTATAATTTTCTTTATATTTGTTGCCGTCCATATGGCAAAAACGCCAAAAATAACAGGGACGGCATCCCTATGGCAGTGAAAGGGTTAAGGTTTTTACATGGGTGTGTGTTTTATTTCAATTGTGTAACTTGTCTGTCAATAGAAATGCAAAACTTTCGCCTGCTATCCTAGCCTACGAACTGTCCCATATGGTAGGAGCTGGGACTATGCTAGTATATCTTAGTAATATGCTGACTGTGACAAGATTACATTTACAGGTATTATTTATTCATACAAGCTAATATTTACGAGCGAGGTATTACATTTTATATTAGATATGTATTTGTCAAGAAATTCAATGTTGAAGTTAATTTACCTATAATTACCCACAAAGACCATTGATTTGTTTGATTTACAAGTACAGGAAGACCTTATCAAATAGCCAAGGTGACGATATAGACCTAAGCATAAACATCTGATAATCTGTATAAAATAGTTTTGGTCCTAGCCTCTAAAATATTTTAAGTATAATCCATGACATGAAGTAAAGAACAAAAATGTAAGGAAGTGCAACATAAATATCTACCCTGAACAAAAAGCATTTTCAACAGCATAACCATTGTCTACAAACAATTAAGTAGACTAAGAGGTTAAATGACGTAAATTGACTGACCGTCTTTTATAATCTCTATTATCTAAAACATAAGACAATTTAGTATAATGGCGATGTCAGTGATATATTTTGAATTTATCCCAAGCCCATCTAGATAGCCTGACGATCCATCTCAGCATTGCGTTGCCGTCGTATTGATACCAACTTATTATCAACAATGTGCATGTGAATTTGGCTTCTGTGCTTTATCTTTTAATTTAAATCCTTAATGGCACAACTCATCAGATATTGTAAACAATTTAAAGAACGATCAACAAGGGTGAGCTTCATCCAATAATTGCAAAACCTAACAGTGCCGAGCCACCCATGACTATCAGGAAGCCAGTTCAAATTACCCTGTCGGTTAGTCTTCATTTTTGTGTAAGTGTAACATTTTTTTTAATGTCGAGGCTTCATAATAAGGTCCACAGGTGGCAAGAATTCTTTCACACAATAATCAACGACTTAGGTTCTCTATAAAATCGATACTAGAAATCATTGTCATTTTTTTATTATAAAATATAGTACACACAAAATTAAAAGCATTCAGTGAAACAAAAGTAAGAGAAACGGATAGCAATAATTGTTACTATATCCTCCTTTACCCAGCCTCAAGCCTCCTGTTATAACAATAGAATAATCATATAATTATGATAAATATGAATTGTTGCAGTATTGATTAGATACGAACAAATTATAGAAAGAACATAAGAAAATATTTGTTAAATCCATGTGCTATATATAATTTTATACTTGATTGCATTAAGGCATCATTGACACTGTCCATTTACAATTTTGACTATCAAGTCGTTTTACAAGTGGAGGTAAAATCAGATTTTGTTCAAGGAGAATCAGACTCCTATGTAGAAACATCAATCATTGAATAGTTTCCATAATGAAAACAGTATTCCTGTCTGTATTTCAACCCCCAACGGCAAGGTTCAAGTAATACAATTTAAGCCAGCAATCGAAACTACTATGTCGGTCCTTATAGAATATTTCTAAAAGAACAAATTGAACGTAAGGTTATGATACTCTTTTTTTGGCGTTTTATTATTATTATTTCAAATGATGTGCCTTATTGGTGACATTATCTGTGATGACAAATCTTTTTTTTTAATTTCATCAAGTTTAGTCGTATTTGTTTTAAAAAATAAGTACTTTTCATATATTCAAACAAACAAAACAGAACCTGTTTGGTATCTTTTTTTCCTGTACACAATTTCATCACACATATTTTTCGTCTCTATCGGTAACTTCTCCAATTTCAATTTCCCACCAACAGTTCTATCTATGTGAACATCAACTCTTTTCACTGGTATCATATCAAAAGTCTGAAAGAAAGAATGAAAGACAGAAAGGAGTACAGGCTTGCATGGCTCTATACTGGCTAAACTAATCATCTTTGGTCTAAACAAGGTGAAGGTAAAAGTTAATTCAAATGTTGGTGTTTTTTTAATATTCATTTATCATTTTCCATTTAGACATTTAGTGCTGATAGTTTCATAATTTTAGAAGGCAGAACAAAATATTACCTTACAAAGCTTTGCATTCTTTTCGTGAGTCTTATGGTACTTCAATTTACTAATGCTGCCGGTAATTAACAAACAATATTCTGTCATTTTTACTTACTTTTATTAACATACATGCTCATATTTTATCTATATTAGTTAGATTACGACTA